TTTGGGTGTTATTATAGGCTATCTCAGAAACTATAAGAGATACGAAAAAAGTAGGTGCCATGTCCCGGTGTCTTTTTTCGAGACTAACCCAATCAAAAAATTCTCATATTTCGTTTATTTTTGAAATTAGAGAAATGGGGTTGATACGTTCTTAAGATACTTTTTTAAGTAGAATATACTGCCGTTGAAAAATTTTTAAAATATTTGATGATTTTTGAGATACAACACAAAGTTGTATTTTTTTAAATACAAACTATANCTTTAATGCGAACAATAGTAAATCAAAAATTCATTTGCAACTTTTTCCTTAAAAGATGCTTAAAAGTCAAAGTCGTTATACAAATTAGTTGCTAGGCAGTCACAAAGATGTTTATTTGTCAACAATATTTTATTTTTTTTAAATTCGTTAATTTGTAAAATGAGTGACGTTAATCTACCTAAACTAACTAATCCATCACACTTTTTCGGGTTGTTCTAATTGCATTATATTATTAAAAGTAGCATTAGGTTTCTGTTCCATTGTTACTTAAAATTTTCATAATTAAGGTTTATTAAATATGTAGCTTCTTTTCTTGTATTGTAAAAATATAACATTACCAAAGAACATTACCAATATGTCATTTTTACATTCCTAATACAGTTATAAGTTATAAGGTACATTACAAACCAACTTTTGTGAATGTTAAGAACCTTCTTACAGCCTGAAACCGGTAATAGCTATTAACATACCGAGAAATGTTATGACATTTATTACAGCCGCAGATGTCAGATTGTAAATGTCAAAGTCGTTATACAAGTTAGTTGCTAGGCAGTCACAAAGATGTTTATTTGTCAACAAATATTTTATTTTTTTTAAATTCATTAATTTGTAAAATGAGTGACGTTAATGTACCTAAACTAACTAATGCATCACACTTTTTCGGGTTGTTTTAATTGCATGGTGAACATAAATAATTACTATTATTAAACGTCACTCATTTTACAAATTAACGAATTTAAAAAAAATAAAATATTGTTGACAAATAAACATCTTTGTGACTGCCTAGCAACTAATTTGTATAACGACTTTGACTTTTAAGCATCTTTTAAGGAAAAAGTTGCAAATGAATTTTTGATTTACTATTGTTCGCATTAAAGTCATCAAAATGCGAAGGTGGTCGCCTGAAACCGATAAACTATTGAACAAACCTCTATGTTATGACACATTACAGCCTTAGATGTCTTAAAATCCTCGCTCTTCGAGCTCGGATTTCAATCTGACGTCTGTGGCTGTAATAAATGTCATAACATTTCTCGGTATGTTAATAGCTATTACTTCATTCCTGATGGTCATCCATGGAAAATACTACCCGTATAGGATTACCCCGGACACCGCCCAACTGCTGAAGCTACTTTGTGTTAAAGTGCGCGTTAGTTAATACTGATTAATCGAAGTTAACGTGAAACACGCGGTCGGGAGAATGTTTATATATGTAAGTGCCGTAAACGCTAACCGATTTTGATAATTATATTTTTGTAATTTTCCACATAAATAAGGGTATCTTTTGAATTATGTTATAAATTTTTCCGATAATTATTTTTAATTAATTGTTAATTACTCCGCTATTCCTTAATCAATTATATCCGCTCAAAAAAGGGATTTAGTTAATTTTGTACTCCGCATCCGATAGCGCCCTTAAAATTTTGCTATTGTCATTAATTAGCCCCGCACATTATAATTTAGTTTTGATAACTTGTTTTAATACGATCCCCCACTCGGAAAAATCCAGTTTTCACCCCGAACAAGTATAAATAGTCGGTCAAAATTTCATTTTAAATGAGTCTTCAACTGTCTTGATCAGTCTTCGACCGTTCTGGATTAGTCTTCGACATTCTTCAAGAGTCTTCAGCCGTCATCAACCGTCTTCAAGAAGTTCGCCAGACTTCACCGGAAAATCTCCGAGTTTTGGAAATAACCGAGTTTCATCGTAAGTTTGTTTTTGGTGGTGCAATTGTGGGACTTTGATTTTATTTTGCGAAATAAATTTTTATCCAATCTCCCGACCCGGTGTTGCTGCGAGTTTTCCGCAACACTCTCCCGACCTGGTATTGCTGCGAGTTTTCCGCAATACTTTCCCCGACCTGGTGTTGCTGCGAGTTTTCCGCAACACTCTCCCGACCT